CGCTGAATATTTTGGAAGATGTGCAGCTGTGCAGGACTCAGCTGTCAGTCGCTGCTCATCCATCTCCTTAAATCCCAGAGTGTTTAACACGCACAGTTGCTCGCCTTAGTTTCCTCTCTTGGCTTTTCTTCTGAGTCAGAACTCATTTCGGTTCCCTGAGATTTTATTCTGGTAAGAGAGAGAGAGAGCACTTTGAACCTGACTTCACTTTTGATTAAGGATCTTCTTCTGGTTTCACTTTGAACCAGTTCCTGCTGTGTAAAGCTGGAAGCGTCCAGGAGGATTGGAGGCTGCAATCTCCCGTTGCCCTGGTTCTGTTGTCTCCTTTCATCTGGGTTTGGACCCATTAAGCAGCCAGAGTTCACAGGGAAAGTTCACTGCGTGTGAAGTTCTGACTTCGTCCTGAAATCCAGGAATATTTACTCAAATTTCCATCCATCCATCCATCCACCCACCCACCCACCTACACACACACACACACACACACACACACCACACACACACACACACACACACACAACACACACACACACACACACCACACACACACACACACACACCACACACACATATATAAAGTTTTGTGTACATCGTATTAGAAGGCAACATAAAACATTTTGTTAGTTATAATAAATGCTTTAGACTTTGCTTAAAAACATCTTTACGGGTAAAAAAGCTGAATTTGTTTCCCCCAGAATCTTCATCCTCATCGTCCTCATCATCAGCTCAGTGATTTCTTCTCTCTGAGCCAGACTCTTCGCCACATTAACTGGATAAAACCCACTGTAACACCTGCTTTCATTCGACTTTTTACTGCAGTGGGAAAGTTTTTAATCAGTATTTAGTCACGCGTCGGAGAACTCTGTAATTGTGGAGGTAATAATGGGATTAGGCTGCAGGTCGCTGGATGAGACGAAAACATTTGGCTGCTCATTTTCACTGCCGATCCCGAAAAGCTGTTCAGCTGGTCGGTTTTCCTTTGAAACGGGGTTTAAATTAATGATTAAAACGCTTATTAATGGGTTTTTTTTTCTAAAACTCAGATAAAAATGTATCACTATAAATATTAAAAAGCCTTTTGTGTCTAATTAAGCCAATTTGACAGCCAATAATTTAGATATCTGCCAATAAATTGATAGTTTTGATCAGTCTAGGAGTCATTTTTTAAAGACTTGCCTATAATTTAATAATATCCAATAATTTAAGCACTTATAAACTCATAAAACTGAGCTATATTGTAGTCAGATATTTTTAACAGTAATTGATTAATTGAACTGAATTAAGAATCACATGAGACATTGAATGAAACTTTTATTACTAAATTGCTCCAAACTGTAAAAAGAAAGAAAAATAAAAGTTTTATGTTCTGTTATCACTGCTTCACTTGTTATATTTAAATTATTTTGAGGTAATTATTACATTTTTGCTCAAACACTTACTTTTTTAGCATTATGTTTCATTATTACTCAATGTTGGGCTAAAATATTTTCATTTTGTTTCATAGTAGAATAATTAATTATTCTGACTGCTAGAATTTCATTGTGTTTGTCAGAAATACAACCTGTGGAGGAGAAATGCCTTTGTGGAAACTGTTATTTAGTTCATCAATCTGAATTTAAATCTTTGCGATTCATGTCCAGTATATGTGGGGTCTGCAGAGATGTTCCCTCTTCCTGTACAAATGAAAATAAATGATTAATAAATAAAACCGAAACACATATGGGCCTAATTACAGGATGTTGAAGGCTGTAAGAGATGATAAACTTAAAGGCATTTTACCAGTTTGTGCAGGTTTGAATACATTTTTTTATTCAATCTAATATTTTCTTTTATAAAAATAACATAGATGCCACATATTAAACATTCAAACTTACATTTTGTTGCCTGAAATGTAAGATTTAAATCCATGTATCCTGATAATTTACTCCACATAAACTGGAGTTGTTGTTGGTGTTTGCTGATTTGATCCCAGTTGCTTGTAAACAGCAACGACGGAACGATTCAGTTCTCTTAATTTAGCTCTGGATTCTGACATGTTTCCAGCTCCGTTCACTTCCTGTTTCTCCACATTTCATTGATTAGAAGAAAAGGTGGAAGAATGAACATGATGCGTTCACAGCGCGTGTCAGCGAGAACAGAGGGAAGAATGTAATCGGGCTATTTATAGCAACTGTTGCTGTTTAAAAAAGACGTTTCTCCATCCTCTCCTCCTCCTCCAGCCGCCCGCCCTTCTTTTCTCTTTCTTTTTGCCTAAAACGATGAAAATAGCGCTGCAGATGTCCTTCCTCTCTCCCCCCCAGCTTCCCCTCTTATCATCTCGTCATCCTTCTGTCTCCGTGGTCGGCCCATCGCATTGTTCAGACCCTCTTAGCAGAGGATGTATAATTCATCTCTCCTCCACAGCGAGGTTGCACACCAGTCATGAATTGAGTCGGGGGGGAGAGGAGGGATGGAGGGAAGGATGGAGGGGAGAGGGAACAAGGAACCAATGAGAGGAAGCGGCGCTTCGTGCCGAGCATCTCAAGTCGGGTGTGTTTGAGCCTCGGCCGTCTCATGGAGGTTCTGCAGAGCGTCTATTGCTGTTTTTATTCGTTGGCAACAAAAACAGAATAAATGACATCATGATAAACGGTATTCAAATTTGTTTAGTTATGATATCTGCATAATTAGAAATGCGCTGTTTCAGAAACGTCAATTCTTTTAGAGTAAAACATTATTTTATAGGATGGTGCTGGTGGAGAAGACGGTGAAACGCTGGAAAATCTAAAGCTTCTTTTACCTTTTGAGTCTTAAACATTTTTACTGATTTATACAAAAATAACATGCAAAATTAGCGATGCGCCACTTCCGATACGATACAGATATCTGAGTTTTAGTGTACAGAAAAACGGTGCTGAACCAACTCTTTTGTTTCTAAAGAGACATAAATGTACTAAATTACAAATTTATTTGATAACTCTGCACCACTACAGCACATTTAACTACACCAGTCATTTAAATAACTAACATTGTTGTTGAGGATATGTAAAATATATTTCTCAACATGTTTACGTAGTTTAAGATGTACAAGTTGTAGTAATGCTATGACAAAAGTTACATATTTAAATTTTGTTTGAATTTCCATTATTTCTCTTTCTAGACCTCTAGTTAGGTTTGTAACAAAAAAGTAATAAATCGTTTAATCGCATGATAAATGAAAATGAACTCAATAATTCCCATTTGCATTATTTATTGCTTCCTCGCTCTACCAAAATCTGGATGATAAAAGTCTTCAGTCTGGAGCTTTTGCCTCAATTAGCCTTGTTTTGAAGGACATTTTTGATTAGAGGGTAAACAATTAAATTTATTTGATGTTTTATTTTGGATGTTTAAAATGTCTTCCAGTTCCAGTGCTAAAAGTTAATTAGAATTGTAAGTTTATCTTCCAGAATGTGTTCTTGCATTATTTTGCCTTTACTAATATGTTACTTAAAAAATGGTCTCAAAATAACAATATTACCATTTATCAGAATAACTTCTGGGGTAATTTATCGGCCAGTAACATTTGCCATTATCGCGACAGGCCAAGCTCCAATCTTCATCCAGAAAGTGCCTTGTGGCAGAACTGCTGATATTTTTAATTAAAAGTGATTCAGCAGATTTCAGTGCCTTGTGTTTGTGCTTAGGGGAGCAGAGCGGACCACCCGGAGTGGATCTGACTCTCCAGCTCCTCATACAAACTACAGCTGCTGGAGTTTGATCTAAATTGTGTCAGACTTGCTGTGGCAGACTGAAATCCCTCTCAGATTCTTTATCTTGGGCTCACTGCTTCGTATTTGACCAACGCAGAGCTGGAATATCATCAGCTTTATAACATTTTGCTGCTTATATTTGGTATATAATCAAATACCATTGAATAAATTCAACGTTCCTTCTAATTTTACACACACACTCTTCTTGGCCTGTTAAGTGAAGCAGAATGTGCAGCAGCTCCTCTCACCTTTGACCCGCAGATGCAGCAGAATCTGCGGGTCGCCTCCTGCTTTCTCATAAATAACCTGCCAGCGCTTTCAGAACAAGCGGGCAGGTTGGAGGATGACAAATAGTCTGTCTGAGTCAGACGTAACAAGTCACACTGCTGGCTGTCGGTTCTGTTTCCGCCTCGCCGCCTGATGAAACTAAAATAGTGTTTTGGCCTCACACTTCATAGAGACACAGGACTAAAAATAAATACTCCAAAGTGAAACGGGCAAAAATAATGGAAGTTTACAAGAAACATGATTCAAACAATCTCCAGATATTCTTATGGTTCTTTATCAAGTGATGACTTGTTTGTGTTTTATCATAAAAGGTGGTGTGAACAACCATTGTTTGACTGTGGTGTAGTTGCTATAATAAAAAATTTCAACTTGCTGTTTTGAGACCCTTTTCAAGTAATGACAAAAACACATTAAAGATCACAATTTTTTAAGACAATTTTCAAGTAATATATTAATGACAAACACCAATAAATTTTAATTGTAAAAAAAAAAAAAACCTCATCAATGGAACTGGAAGATATTTTAAATATTCAAAACAACCAGAAATGGTAAATAAAGCATAAATTAAAACCACACACCACAGAAACCATAAATAAAATGCTTGATGGTGTCTCTGTGAACAGAATTGCCCTTAAAACTATTGATCAGAATGGGAATTATTGACTTCAATTTAATTTATCATGGATTAATTGCTTATTGATGTTGGACCATGATGTGGTTTACTTTTTCTCACCATCTGCTGCCATCTAGTGGACAGTGGAACAATTTCAATCTGAAATAATTTATAAACAGTCATTACTCAGACTCGGTGCTCGTCATTTTATAATTTTTTACAAACCTTTCTGTCATGGTCATCCTCTCACATTGTTACAAATGAACCATATTACATACAGCTTAGGTTAAGTTTTTTGGTTTCAGGAGAAAATGACCCTTTTCTCCTTTTGGTTTATTTATTTTTTCTTCATCTTCCAACCCGTCCAGCTGTTCACTGCAACCTGAGCCAAAATGGCATCGACCACCAGCTGCGTCCCGAGGACATGACTTCCCAGCTGGAGGAGGACGAGGAGTTGGTGGACGCGGAGGCCGTCCTGCTGGACGACGACAGCCCGAGTTACCCGGACCTCCGCCGGCCTTCGTACCACCGCCGCTCCCCGCCGCACCGCTCCGTCTCAGAGTCCGAGCTCACCCGGGTAAGACATTTGTGTTTCTTGTCTGTTTTACGGATGCAAACAATTAGTTGACTTACAATTAACTACTGTATTGGATTCATATTAGTTCAAATGAATCGATTAGCTAGTAACTCGATTAGCTAGTAACGTCCGTTAGACCTTCTGTTAGTGTTGTAATTTGGCCGCCATCCAGCAGTGGGCGCCGCTGGTCATCCTCAAGCGTAGGCATTGATATAGAAACAAAGATGGCGGAGATAATACTGCAAGAAGGAAAATAGTCGGAAGAGAGTCAGGTTTGAGATGCAAAATGCTCTTTATGTGGGTTTGTTTTGAAATAAAAACGTTCGCCAAGCTCTTTAAGTTTCACTTTATTCATCCGAGCTTCATGGTGGAACAGCGTGAACTTTTTATTTAAAAAAATGACCGCTGTGCTACAAAGGCGATGATGTGAGAAAAGCGAGCAGGATGATGGAGGCAAATTGTAACATCACAGAAAAACGCTATGATCCTTATAAAGGAATATTGATTTTTGAGAGCTGAAGCGCTTTGTGGAGTGAAGTTTAAATATTAATGCAAGAGCAGCCACAAACCTTATTTCTGTAAAACACAGAATTAATATTTCTTAAACCACCACTTTATAGGGAAGGCAGCAACCTAGGAGGCCCCTAGCTTTATATTTTATAAATATGTCTACGTTTAACCAAAATGATCTCTTTATTCAGTCAGTATTTAATTCAAATAACACAAATAAATCTTAAAATTCAGTGTTCTAAGAAAAAGTAATCCTTTATGTTATGGAAAGACAGACACCCTCACTGATGCAAGATGGATAAAAAAAGATGTCTGCCAATCAATTACCGTATTTTCTGGACTATTAAGTCGCACCGAAGTATAAGTCGCCTTTTTTGGGGAAATTTATTTGATAAAATCCAACACCAAGAACACATGTCATCCTGAAAGGCAATAAAATAGAATACAGGCAACAACAGGTTGAATAATTGTACGATATGCTAACATTATATGACAAACAACAAACTGAGATCCTGCCTGGTATGTTCACATATTAAGAGTTATTCAGATAACTATAGCATAAATAACATGCTAACAAGTTTACCAAACCATATGTGTCACTCCAAATCACTAAACGCGATGAAATCTTCATCTTCAGTATTGTTTTTAAACAACTCCGCTAACTCCGAAGGTAGCTTCTACAGCACACATTATCAACATAGACCTAGGGGCCCTCTTGCTGTTTAGAGTGAAAATAACATGTGATATGATATAATAATGTGTTAATAATTTCACATATACGTCGCTTCGGAGTATAAGTCGCAACCCCGGCCAAACTATGAAAAAAAAACTGCGACTTATAGTCTGAAAATAAGTCGCAGTCCATCAATTGTTAGTTGATGGACCATAGAAATAAAATTTTAGATTGACTCGTAATTTGATAACTTCCGTCCCTAGTTTGTTCTCAAACATCTTCCGTAATAGTTTGAATTGATATTTGGATCTGAAGAAATTGTTTAAACCAGAGCTCTGACTCTGACTAAACCAGGGAAGGTTTAGTCAGCCTGTTTTGCAAGTCTGTCATTTGTTGTTACGTATGAACAGAGTGATCCTTTACTTCCTCTCCAGAAATGGAGTGATACGAGGATGGAGGCAGGAGCGGCTGCTTCTAATGCACAGACGCAGGCTCAGGTTCTCCTTTCTCAGAGTAAAACATCTGGTAATCAGCTGTCAGTCTGAGCGAGTGGAAGCACTTAGAGTGAGAAAAGGGCTCGGTGTAAATCCTGGATGAGCCACTTAAAAACCAGACAGAGCCTCTTATTCGTTTAAAACACAAGGTGCGTTTCCTTTTCAGGAATGGATTTGCGCAGAACAAAAATAGTTTTCTGAGGTGGTTGTTTATCTTTCTCTGCTGGTACTGGAGTAAAACCAGATTATCTGGGTAGAAATTCCCCTAGAAAACCGGCACTGGTCGACATTCTTACAGTCTAGCTGACTAATAAACAACATGGATGGTGAAACTTTGCAGCTTCAGACTGTTTTTCTCTTGCTTCTCATATGAAAACACTGGAAAACTGTAGCTACTAAGAACAAATAAACATGTTTTAGATTGAACATGCAGTGTAAGCCTTGGCTGTATATTTTTAAATCGAGAGGCAGCTCATGATATTCAATTATCTTATAGTGGTTAATTTATTTCAGCAGTTAAGAAGTTTAAACGTGTAGTGATGGAGTTCAAGGCTTTTATAATTACTTTTGATTATGGTTGGCACTCAGTGAAAACATAAGAATTAAATTATTTAGACAATTAGAAACTTATGGAAGACTAACTAAAACAGAGGTTTTATGGCTACTGTATTGACAATTTAAAATAAAAAATCAATTAAAAAAAGTTAGTTGAAGGAAAAACTGTTATAGAAGGGAATAACTGTTGCAAAAAGAATAACTCAAGTGTATTTAGAAGCAAAGCACATTCAAGAGTTTGGACCAATAGATATTTCATATAAGTTGTCTGTTGGCTTTCATATAAGTTGTCTGTTGGCTAAAATTTCAGTATAATTTTATTTTCTATTTTACTGATGCAGTACAATTTTCTGAGAAACTGAGTTTTATATTATGTTATCTTTAATTCAAAACAAAAATAATTACTATAATAATTAACTATTCAATTGCATTTTAATTTAATGAGCTGTACCTAAAGCTATCATAAACCAATTAACATCTGTAAAGTAATGCTGGGTTACCAATAAATGTTACTACTAGCTTTGTGCTAAGGTTTATGGAGAATCCAATTCATTGCTAACAGTTAGCATTCGTGCCTTTTTCATCGGACCAAGAGTATACTAATATGTACACTTAAAATAACCGTATATTTAAAAATTCACAGGAATATTTTCTTTAAAAGCTAAACAGAAATACATTTTGTTTGGGTAATTAAATAGTTTTGTTGTTAAAGTTTTTTTTGATGAAATTGTCAAGACAACAAGCAGCTGGTTGTTTTGGCAACCTGTGGTTTTCTGGGTAGAAAAATGCTCCTTTTCAACCTCAAAGAAACATTTTGGGCAGAAAAAGTGCTTGCTAAACTGCCTGTTGTTAAAGATGAACCAGTCTGGAAATGAATGAAGTAAAAATAAAAACCTCAAATTGCCTTCAGGAAGCCTGGAGTGCTGCTCATCAAGACTTTGGTGATGGCTGCCTGGAGGCAGCCAGTTAAAAATTAGCACTGGTTTAAAACTTTTGCACTATAATGCATAATTGAAGCGACAGAGCTCGCCATCTCAGTGTCAAGTGTCTGCATTAGAGTTAACATCCTCGCTCTTTTGGAGAATTTCCAACAGATCAAGTGCATTAAAGCTTAAATTATGAATAATGTTAATGTTTTCCATTAGGCAGCCTAACAGCGTTCATTAATACATGCAGAAGCTGAGCTAAACCGAGCTGCAGCAGGTTAACTTCAATTAAAGTCACAGTGACATAATGGCCCAGACACTGGATTTAGCTGGTGCTGCGCTTTAACATGTGATTTCAAATTAAATCCTTCAAATCTGATTTTTCAGAGCCGTATTATTTAAAATAGGAACATAAGCTGCTCTTTTTTGGGGGAACTAAACTCGAGCATGTCAAATATTTAGTTTGTTTCAGGGGAAAACACTTTTTTAACCCTAAAACAGTCAGGAGTGGAAAATAAAAAGAAAAAAATTAATAATTTGATGTTATTAATCATTTTTGTAGGTCCTAAAAATGTGCACATTGATTTCAGATTTAGAATTTTATTCATTGTATCTTCCAGGATATGTTGCTGTTACAGTTTAAAAAATCTACACAGTTACACAATATAGTATTGTTTGGTCATTTGGATCTATTGTAGCACTTTTAAATTAGATTTTATTCATTTTCACCAAAGCAATATAATAATTCGTAAAGTGAAACAAAATCCACTTTTTGTGATGAACAAATGGAACTGAAAATGGCATAAAACAAAACATAGCAAAACTCTTAATGCTTTATCTTTTTCATATTAAACAAAACATAGGCTTAATGAAAATTATATTTAATAGTCATTTAAGTTATTTTCATCCAAACACATATGGTAATTAATTAAATATGACTGTAATGTTACTTTATTTATATTTTTCTCCTAAAACTTAATTTTTTTCCCCTTATTCCTAAAAAATATGCATTATTTTTTCTCCATTTTGCTGTTATTTACTGTGTTTGTCACATTAAATCCCCAATAAATACAAATACTGTAAATAAATTTCAAGCACCTTAAGAAATAATTTAATATAAACAAAAATTAAGCAAACCAAATCACTGCTGTATTTGTAAGACCAAACGACAAAAGAAAAAATATCTTTAATTTGACTCTGATTAAATCTTAACACCTCGTAATGTCGCTATTTCAGTGCAGCTATATTTCGGTTAATCTCATCAACCGTATCGCTTTCTGAATCCGTGTTGCTGATGAATCATCGCTTGGGTTTATAATGGAGTCAGAGCTTTTCACCACAGATTAAACATGATGTATAAAAACCAATTGGAGTCAAAAGGGAGCCAACATCCACACCAAATCATCTATCAATACGCAGCTCAAGGTGAGTTCATCTCGTCTGGGTTCAACACGCCCTGCTGTGTTTTATGGACCCGACCAAATATGAAGATCGTGGGCCTCTGAAGGGCCGCCTGCGCGCTCCTTGAGTTCAGGCTGCAGCCTGAAAATCCAATTTCAAACAGAGGCTTCGTATGAAAGCCTCGTAATTCATCCGGGACGCACACGCCGCCTCCGCCGCCGTGTTCGTGTGTCTTGCAGATTAATTAAGAGGAGGGTCGGGGTGGGGGGTTCATCTCCTGCCAGGTCTGGACTGAGAGAGATGGACCGATTGAAAAAGGAGCCGAGGGACAGCAGAGCTGCCAATTAGCCGCGCAGCAGAGACAACGTGGAGCTTTGAGGCTCCAGCAGCCGGTCACTTGGTGCCAATCAAGACCAGCTAAAGAAATTCAACTCTAACTTTGCTGGAGACTAGAAATGCACATTTTTCAGTATCTTAACGATTCAATTCAGATATTTAGTGTCATGACTTGATTCAGAAACCAATTTCTCTGTTCAAATGGTGACTGACGAGAGAAGAAGATGGTGTAAACAAATAGTGCATGAAAGAAAGCACAACTCTGGAAGGCAAGACAAATAATTAAATAAAACAAATATACCTGAGTGAATATAAAAATACAGTAGAAACAAAGAAACTACTGGGGTGAATAAATGTTTCAGATGAATTATTAATATAGAACATTTATTTGAACAATAATATAAGGTTCCATACTACAATAAAGTATTGGGGCTGAGAGAAAAAACATGAGTTAATTTCCGACTTAAAACTCTGAAAAATTTAGATTGTCAGAAATTATGTAGAAATTACAAGAACTTTCTGATCTTGAAAAGTAAAAAATTTACAAGGAAAAACAAAAAGAAAATTTGAGTTTGGAAAGTTAAACCCCTGTTAGAAAAAAGCAGGTAGGCGTTATGTGTTCACATATAGTGGTGTTATTAAATAACGTAATTAAAATTTAGGAGAAAAAAACCCTAACTTGGTTGCAGTCATTGCAGGCGCCTTCCTCTTCATGGTGCAGTGTTCTGTTCGGACACCAGGGGGCACTATGCGACAGTGAATCCTGCTGGTGTGGAGGTTTAATGTAAATCTGCAGTTTCTTGCTGGATAAAGACAAGAAATCAACTGAGACCAGGAATGAACATTTGTGCAGCAGTTTAAGTTTTCAGATTATAGAGTTTACAAGATGATAGATCTACTGTGGGGTTTTATTTTAAACTTTGCTTTAAGCAGTGGATTAGTTTCAGTTCTGCCGTAGCGTTCCCACTTCCATCAGAGAGGTATTGATTTCTCTCTATGATAAATTTGGAAGCTGTATTCTGTTGTTCCATTTACTCTGGGGCATTTCACACTTTAATTGGTCATGTCCGATACAACAATAAAAACGACACAATGTGAAGTATAAAATATAAAGCTGGGTTGGAGCTGTAGATTTACCACCGTACTATTTTGGTTTTGCTTTTTTGCGTCTAAATGTTTCTGTTAATCAAACTTTTATATAAGCAAAACGAAAACCAGAGAAAATCAAAAGTGCAGTTTTTAAACCATCTTTACATTTAAAAGACTAGAAGAATATAAACAAAAAATCTTCCAGTCCAGAGCAATGTTGATCAATTAAATTACACTGTGCATGTTTCTTTGATAATTAAGACAAGTTATTTACAAATAGTGACAAGAAAGTTGCAAGAATATGGATAGAAACACTTATTTAATTGTGACTCAATTAATTAGAGGAATATAAAGTTATCCAAACCAAAATGGTCGTATATGAGAAACCAGTCTTGCTGCACTTGGTAAGTTAATTATGAAACTGATTTATACAGTTTGGGAAAGCTGCATTCCTTTATACTCGGGGATAGAGAACATTTGAAAACAGGACCTAGGTCAAAAGATCTAAAAAAGAAACAAATCATGCCCTCATGAATGAAATTCAAGAATGAATCAGAGAAAGCAGTAGCTACGTTTCCATTACAAATGTGCACAAAACGTTTTTAGAGATTCCACTAATAAGTCATTTAAAACATGCCGTGCTATCATCACTTCCTGTCGTCGTCTTCTTTGTCTTTTCCTCCAGTAGCAACATCCTGTTGTTCATCATGCTTATTGTTTGATGTAAAAAAAATGTATCCAGTGTGTTTTCTAGAAAATTTCTGAGCTCTCAAAATTTGAGATCATAAGCTAATTTTTGACTTGTAAGACTGAAAATTTCTGACATTAATCAAACATTTTTTTTTTCTAGCAAATATTTGACTTCTGGAACTGAAATTTCCTGGCTGTTTCCAAAAAACATTTTGATCTCAAAGTTTTAGTTTTTTGAATTTTAAATTTTTTATCTACCATGGCCCGTTGTGGTCTCTCTCTCTCTGCTGGTTGGCGAACAGGAAGGTACCAGGTAGCCTTTCGTAGCGGCCCGATGAGAACAGCTACGGGCTAAATCAGTGCAGAATGTAAAACACAGATGGCCGTTGACTCACAAATGGGTTCATGGAAAAGAAGAGCCTCTCATGTCAATCTGCTGAGTCTACTCCACAGCTTTGGCTTCTTTTTATTTTTTATTTCGCTACCTCATCTGTCAGCTTCTCCTCTCCCTCTTCTTCTCCTTCCTTCTCCATCTTGGCTTTCCTCTCTACTTCGTCGCCTCAGGGCTTCCAGTCAGGGTTAATTAGCACAGAGTCGAGTTGTGTTTAATGGTTAATGTGATTTCTTCCTGTGACAGCACCCTGTCTCTTCTATATACACTCAACATCTATCCATGCACACTTGCGTTGAGAGTTGCGACCTCTTCTACACGCCCGCACACTCGCCTGCTTGCTTTGGCTGTCTGTCATTTCACCTACACCCTGGAGATACCGACCATATGCCCAAACCAGCGTGCGCCTCTCCCCCAATTTCTTTCTCTCTAGGAAGCTAGATATAGAGCGAGTGGGAGTAGTGGTGGAAGAAAAGAAACAGGTGAAAAGCTGTGGGGAGAAAAAACCCGTTCCATCTGACAGGGACTGTAGGAGATTGAATTTGGGGCAGAGATGATGGAAGCAGCCAAAAGGGAAAACCAAGGACTTTCCTCTGCTACGCCGCGGCACAAAGCAGCCCGAAGAGCAGGTTGTAGATGTGAAATTTTAATCACTTCTCTGTTTGCAAATTTAATAGCCTCTTAATCAGAATCAGAAGCACTGCAGACACTTTGAGGAGAGATCATAAGGCGTTGCCTGCTGTTGAAGTATTTTGGTTTCTGAAATGTGAGGAACATTTCTGGCTATTCAAGGACTTTTATGAGCCATTTTTATGTCAGCCAAGGAAGCTCAGTGAGCTGTAGCTGAAGAAAGTACAGAACATAAGCAAATTAAGAAATGCTTAATTTGACACCAACTCAGCAAGAAAGCACACTGAAACTGCTCAGAATACATCTAAAAATTAGTGCGCCACCGACTGGATGTAGTGAGAAACAACGACCTCAGCTTTCTGCTCCGTGTTGCACTAAACAGCCGCCAGTAGGATGGAGTTTGTTCACCCAACCAAAGAAAATGGATCCACAGAACCAGCCAGGTTACTACTTAGTCACAACATTGATCCATTCAGCGGTTGATAAATATAGATGTTTTCGGTTAATGGTTATCTATAAATAATTATGTGTAGAGGTTGCTACAATTGATAGTTACCAAACAGGCACACCCACTATAAGAAAACAAGCGCACACAGTGCAACACTTTCATTCTACTGGCTGAGAGGTTGCCAGGCGAGGGTGTTTTTTTACTGTGAGCACAAGCAGAAAATGTTTCACAAGCGAGCAGAAAGGTTTTCAAGTGGAGATTTGATCCGAGCAGAGACGGGTTTGAGAAAGCACAGTGAGTATTTAAAAGAGAGCAGAAGTTTGGAGTACAAGCATTATAATAAAACATTTGCTGAAACATGTTTTGAAATTTTTTTTAGCAAGTAGTAAAATTATTAACACCAGTTCACAGATTTTGGTGAAACTTACTGTGAAGTTAGGGGTAGTTTAAGACTTTTAAGAAATGACCCATGACAGATTTAGATTTGAAAGGTCGCTCAGTGAATGCTTTCTGATTTATTTTTTTCATTTTTTTCCTCTCATTCAGCCTGGATACGTGAAGCTGTCCAAACCAGTGGCCCTGTGGACTCAGCAGGATGTTTGCAAATGGCTGAAAAAGCACTGTCCCAACCAGCATCAGATCTACAGCGACTCTTTCAAACAGCACGACATCACAGGTACGTTTCTGAACCCAAACAGCGACCATTACGATCAACAGGTTTCGCACAAGAGCCTTAAGCTTGTATTATGGCTGCTGGACACAATGAGTTATTAAAAAATGTAAGTCTCCAATGCAACCAAGCCTTTATAAAACTATAAATGGTTAATATTTTCTTTCTGTTTTTAAAAACTTTAAGTTGATCCTTAAGAACAAAAATGTGGTTTCAACCATGTTTTTCTTTTGTGGATATGTTTAACATTTTCCCCATTTCTGTCTATTAAATAAATTATTTTATTTTGTACAATGTTACTTTATCTTTCAGCCACCATAATCTTCAGCCTCAAGCTTTTATGTACCTCAAAATGCTGTGAAACGTTCCCGTTGTGGGTTTATCAGAGCAATGTAGTTCTGCTGCTGTCAATATATCCATCCTTCCTTTTTAGCTCCTATTTTGAAAAAAACAAGTGAGAAATGACCATGAAATCTGTCTTCTGACCTAAACTTGGAGACAAACCAGCTCCTCTTTCTTCCAACACTCTTCATAAGTTTCAACATCTTGCTTCTGAGAAGCCAGGTTTCATTCATAACCTCCCAGGTGCGCTCCACACCTGCTGTCTGGCTAACAGCCCACCCGTCTGTCCATCCCTCCCCTCCTCTCTGTCTCTGTTGCCACGTCAATCACTCCCCTAACGAGGCCCTTCAAGGTGACCCTGGGTCTAACAGCGCTCCAGTCCTCATAGAAACAGACGACCATTAATTTTCACGGCGTTCTTCTCTCTCACAGCCCGGCTGGTCACACTAATATGTTTATTTGTTGCTCCTGAGGAAATCCTCAACTCGGCGACCGGCTGGAGACATAAATCTTGCGATGAGCGGCGCGTTGAGTCACTCTTTGATGCAATTTTAACCGCTGTATGTCTACGTGGAGCTTCAACATCACCTGTTTAATGGAGTGAAAATATGAATCTTTCTGCTTTGCGCCGCGAATTGCGCAAATGTCTCATCAGCTGCAAAGAGGTCGAATAAATGACCCATGGTTCATTGCATGCCTGCTGAAGCGCCGCTTCAATTTGACAGCAACTCCCAAGGAGAAACATTTTAGAAGCATTTGATTTGTTTTCTTTTCATTCAGGTTGTAAACTATCACACTTTGATAGATTGATTGTGATTTTTAGGTTTTTGCACCGAAGTGGATTGATGTGGTTGAAACATAATTTGCTGCTGGTTTAGAGAAGATTAACACAAACTACCACTAAAAACTCTTGCTTGGTATGTCTGAGTAGTTTCTGTATTTTTCTCAAAAGAAATCACTTTTTGTGTGAAAAAATACATAAAGTTTTATTAGGGTTATCTCAGAACAAAGTTAAACATCACAAGGTTTCTTAGAAGCCAAAAGCATTTTATTACACCAAGACTGCCAATTTTCTCCATCACTGCAAAAACACAAAATCTTACCAAGTATATCTGTTCTAGCTTTTAGTGCAAATATCTTAGTATACTTCAAATAAGACAAAAATATCTTACAAGTCACTTTTCAGCAAGAAAGTACTAAAAAATCTGTCTGTACTTTTTCACCAATATTAAGGAATTATTGACTTCAAACAAGCTTCTTTATCTACTTAATTACTGCTCTGAATATGGTGTTGATAGTTTTGTTTCAAGTATACTTTATAATATATCTGCTTCTGAATTTTCTGCAGCCATTTATTGTAAAGAAGGAATTAAATAAGAACTATAGACTTATACTTTCAAACTGAGACAATTGGGAGATAATGGCGCGCAGAAAATCTGCAAGTAATTCAGTTTGTCTCCACATTTGGCATTAATTAACAGAAGCCAATTAAAATGGTTTAAGCCTTACCATTTGGACTCACAAGGCAATTTGCATCCTAATCAATCTTAGGAATATTATGCCAACATTCTGTTTCATTTCAACGCAGCAACAGAATAAACACAACTAACCAGTGTAACACTGTTGGGAAAACAATCATGTGTAGACAAGCAAACAAGGAGTTTGAATATGTTTATGTGAGAATACAGGCATGCATCTGAGATAGGAGATTATCTGTTTGTTCGGTGTGTTTGTCAGACTCTACTTGTGACCTTTTCATAATTGAAACCATATGAGGAAGGCCGGGGTCTGGCTTCCTTGCGCCAGACTTTTTCTTTTGCATTCAGTGCACTGTATTCCCATCAATCCATCCATAACTGAATACCTCTTTTCGACTGCCAGCGGTGCTCAATCTCACTTGTCTTGGCAACATTGTCATCCCTTTCACTAAGTACCAAATCAATAAGCAGGCTCTCTTTTCTAGATCATAATTCAAACAGACAATCGCGTCCGCCCTCTTTAGACATAAAGCAGCAGCATGGGGAATGCATTTCACAGCGTACCGGGCGCGTGCAACATTTTAGCATCGAGCGACTTCAGTATGCAGCAACCGCTTCACTGCTGTAACCTCTGCCAAAGGAATCAATGCTTCCCGTCCTCCCTCCAGCCTCCACTGCCAAGAAGACGCCTCCCTTCCTCAGTCCTCACCTCCCACCCCCAACAGACACGGCTGCAAATATGGCTTTAACACCCAGCTTCTATTTAAAATCCATTAAAGCATGTTAGGGCATAATTAGATATTAGTTCCTAATCCGTCATCTTTACAATGAGGAAGCTTGGTAAAGATGGTAGGAACTGGTTGGTGTGACGTTATTTAGCAAAATACTGACATAAAAAGCACTGTATAGTTTTTGCAACAATTGGGAATTTCAAATTCCAACAAAAAGGGGCAGTATTCTGTCTTTTCAGGGACATAGTGCCATTTTATAGCACAGCCACATAAATATGTTGACTTCAGTTGTTATGGAAAAGCTGTATTTATCAAATATGGCTTTGTAATTTAACTTCTTGAATTTGGGCCTCTCTCTCTTTAAGAAGCTTCTTTGCCTTCTGAAACTCCGCCTTCAGAAAGTCAACATGGCTCCTCTATTAACCCCGTAACAATGTTTTTCCAGTATTTCACTGAGAATGAACTTCTATTATGAGCTCAGCAGATGCTCAGTTTCACCAGGTGTTTGCTAACTGCTAATGGCTAGTTTAAAGGAGCTGAGTGGTTGAGGAGGAGCTGTGTCTCGAAGGCGGGGCTACGTCCACCCAGACGTTTTGCCCCATTTAAAGGGGCAGTATTATGTGTTTCCAAGGACATAGTGCTATTTCAACTATATTAACTTAATTTTGTTATAAAAATGCTATACATATAAAATATATATATAAAAAAACAATTTTTGTGATTTAATGTCTTGGAATTGAGCCTTAGTCTCTTTAAAATATTTTCTAATTGCTGCTGGCTAGACTGAAGGAGATGAATGGTTGAGGAGGAGCTGTGTTTCGAAGGCGGGGCTACGTCCACCCAGGCGTTTTTACACAGCTGAATGGTTGCCATGAAAATTAAAATGTCTCAAAAGTGCATGAGAGAATCAAAGCAACACTCCAGGTGTTTTTGATGAGAGAATGAGATTCTAGCCTGATTTAAACCTAGAAAAATGTAATGTTACACAATACTGCTCCTTTAACAATGTTTCCAACTAAGATATACCTTCTGATTGATTTCAAAATATTATTTTTATTTTTATGTGGGGGCAACCATTTCATTTTTTTCTCTTCAGTCTGGGAAAGTTTCCCTCACAAAACTCAGTGATATATGGTGTCATAAGCCCTTGCTCTGAATAATTAATAGCCTGTAATATTAGTGGTTAAATGAAGGGTGGCTGGAGTCCTGCTACTCTATCCACCCCGCTAGTCAAACACGTCATTTCAGCTGCCTGGAAAATACCAACGAGCGCAGGCAGCTCTGGACGAGACATTTTCTGCCACTGGAGTGTCTCACATTGGATACTAAATGTATATTTGATGAGGCCCAAAAAAAGGACAAAAGGTGACAAAGTCTATTTCAGAACAGTCGAGGACACGCAGAAACTAACCACAACAGCCATTTAGCCCTTCGAAGATGAATTGTGCAGGCTGCCGCCGGCTGCTGTCATAGAAATGCAGCTGGTTAATGGAGAAAAAGACATACAGCAAATGAGTCAAACAGACTGAAGTAACAGGGCTGCACATCAGCTGGGAAGCTGCAGCGTAGCATGAAGATTTCTTCTTTCCTCCTGATGGACCATTTCTTGGACAGTTTGATACTGAGATGAAATAATGATTAATTATACAAATTATAGCTGCTGATTTAATTCAGATCAGCAATTATGGAAACCAAAGGTGTGTAAAAATGCATTTATTGATTCATTAGCTACCTCTAACAGCTATAGCTTAAGTGTCCCAGATCCTACAGCTTTAGACTTTAGTAGCCTTACATGTGGGATGTTTTTTTTTCTCAAGCTTTTCTTGTTAAACAATTTTTACTGTATGAATTTCTAATCATGACTTGGAACAGCCGTCTCTAGCACTTAAATAGTTGTTTCTCGTTGTTGCTCACCGTATCGACATGGTGCAGTTTGTGCTAAATAATCCAAACTAATTGGAAAAACTGCTATTCACCTCCTCACCTGTGGTGGCACTGCACCAAGAACTACTGAAGAAAATGACAGAAACCTCAGGCACAAGCTCAACTCCCTCCCTCACAAAATGTAAACAAATATGGAGCAGCATCAGAGTTTGGTGTTTGGAGGATTTCTCTTTTGTGAGTCATTCTTCCCACTATTGCCGGACATTTCGGTTTGATCAGGTTCTTTTTACCCAGAATGCCCTGCACTATTGACACTTTCCAACTACATAAGTTAACCATTGAGGTGCCATGATGGCCTCAGAAGTGCTACATGATGGTGTTACCAATGATTAGATGCTACCTTCTCCATAATGCAATATTTGATATTTTTCTAATCATAAAGTATAAAATTCTTGCGCTGTAAAAAGTGTTTGCTACAATCCCGTGAATAAACCGTCGGCTGCCAGTCGTTATGATTAACAGTTTCTATCCATCGCCGCCATCTTTCCTCTCTAAAAGTTACAAAATAAAA